AAAGATGAGTTCAGGTCATTGATAAAGTCCATCCAGGGCACTGACAAGAAAACATTTCAGGGTAAAGGGGAAGCCAAGTGCCTTGCCTTGCCTTATTAAGATATCACAAAATTATATAGATATTGTGAAATAGGAAGAAAGGGAGCAAAGGGAAAGGGGAAGTGGGATGATAGGGGAAAGGAAAGAAAGGAATGGAGTTAAAATGAGAAAATGAAAAATGGAAACAAAGTCTAAATAGGGTGGGGTGGAGAGGTTGAAGGGAGGGCAGGGAAATAGGGAAAAAAATAAGAACCAAGTTAGATTACATAAAGGTACAAATTTCCAGTGATGAATGTCATTATATTGTACAACTAAAAGGTACCAAATAAAATTAATTTTTAAAAAGATATCACAAAGTCTTGGGCCAGGGATTTAGCTCAGCAGCACAGCACCTGCCTGGCAAGCACAAGGTCTTGAGTTTGCTCCTCAGTACCAAGAAAAGATATCATAAAGTTTTAAGGTCATGCCTTGTAGACCTTTTCAACCAGACAAAGAGCATTTTCAGGATATGAAGATGGTATCTTGTAGATTCCATGTTAAACAACACACTCCAAAGAGTGTCAAGGGCACTGTTCCACAGCAACCTCACTGGGAGCCCAAAGTAGAGAAAAGCTTATCCTGAAAATATCAATTTATGAGTGTGATTTTTATTCAGCACAACGGATTACAAATTGATATATAAGAGATCCACAAAGTTTTAAAGGAATTGAATTAGTTGGGTACTCTTGTTTGGATATGGTTTGTGTTCCCTTCATGTGTTGGAATATAACATCTATTGTGTGGTGTTAAAGGGGGGCCTTTGGGAGGTAATTAGGGTTAGATAAAATCATCATAGTGGAGGGCTTTGGATTTAGCTCAGTGGTTCTGACGCCTGCCTCATAAGCACAAGGACCCGAGTTTGATTCCCGGTACCAAAAAAAAAAAATCATCATAGTGGAGCCCCCATCGTTATATACTGAAGGTTTTATAGGACGAGGAAGGGAGAGAGTAGACTGACACAGGTTCCCCATCTCTTCATGCAATGCCCGAACCACCTTAGAACTCTGCTAGCAAGGTCATGATCAAATGCAGCCCCTTGATCTTGCACCTACAAAACTGTGCTAAAATAAATCTCATTTCTTCATTAAGTATCTTGGTTTTAGTAATGCAAAATGGATGCATACATGTGGCCGGAAAGTACCAGAGTTAGTTTAAAATGAAAAGGCCTCTGAGAGTTCATACTTTTTGAGGCAGCAGGGAGGCTCAGAAGGCTACTTAGTCACAGTCATGGAAGACTTAGAGGCCAGAGCTAAGATTCCCAGAGTCAGAGCTCAGAGCCACGGAAAACCTCCCAAGGTACAGGAGCCCTAAGGAAACTGGCACCACATACCCCTCACATTTGAGAATCGCTGTAGTTCAATGTCTCCTGTGTACCCCTATTATCTCCCATTCCTGTCCTGCTATTGTACGTTAGGGGTGGTAGTGATGGTGGCACAGCTAATGTGTCTAGTTCAGGTCTTCAAATAGAGAAGAGTACCAGAAACCATATCTCACAAGCATTGCACACACCTGGATTTGATTTATATGAAGAAAGCTTGGACTCTCCGCCTGAGCTTCACGATTTAACGGAATAAAATGGAGGGGGGCACCTTAGGAGGGAGTGGGCATTTTGCATAAGAATGGTTGTGACCTAAGGGACTAATTGCCATCTCCTTAGATACCACAAACTCCGCAAGATCTCCCATCCCGTAAATTGCCTACCAAGTGACCCCTGCCACATCACTGGCATTTGTGGTTGCTTTGGCCAATAACTGATGCCACTGGGGGTATAGCTCAGTGATTCTGGCGCCTGTCCAGAAAACACAAGGACCTCAGTTAGATCCCTGGTCCAAAAAACGAACAAGGGTATCATTTGCTTTAAATGTACCAATAAACAAGGGGAAAAAGAGAAAAGGAGAGAACTGATGCTGTGTAACTTCTAAAGATGAATAATAAAGGTAAATTCTGCCTTGTTTGTCAGAATTCACACCTGAATTGCCACATAACAAGCCTGATTACTTTTGAGGCTACCACACTGAGAAGAGGGCCAAACACTAAACTCTCACATATGTACATAAAGGTGCCTCTAGTTGATTCCAGTCCCCAGGCATCAGTCAAGCCTGACAAACCATTATGGTTTAAATTAAAAACCTCCCTCAAAAGTCTCATGTGTTCTGGGGTGGGGCTTGGGGAAGGTGAGTGGATCACAGGGTTTTATACTCATTAGTGGCTTAGCCCATTGATGAGTTCAAAGCTGAATGTGATGTTAGGAGGAGGTAAAGCATAACCGGAGGAAGTGGGTCACTGGGGCGTGATTTGGAAGGTTATATTCTTGTCCTCAGCCCCAGTCTCTCTCTCTGATTCCTAGTTGCCGTGGGCTGAGCAGACATCCTCCGTCTGGCCTTTCCACCATACCATTTCCCCCCTGGAGCCAGCCGAACATGGACTGAACCCACTGAAACTGTGAACCAAAATAAACTTCTTTAAATTGTTGGTATCCATCAAGTATTTTGTCCTAGTGACAGGAAAGTGATTAATGGACAAACCAACTCTACTATGCCCCGTTTTAATCCCTAATTCATAGAATCACGAGCATAACAAACTGGCTGTTGGTTTAAGGCACTAAGTTTTGGGGAGTTTGTTGCATAATTGTAGCCAGAGTAGACGGACAGAGAGATGGGTGAAGGGATAGACAAACAGATATGTGACAGTGCAAACAGTAAAATGCTAATTGCAGAATCTAGGTGGCTGTTTGCTGCATAATTCTTTCAACTCTTCTGCATATTTGAGCAACCTTACAGTAAAAATAGGTAGGAGGGAAGATTTGGAACCACTGTGAATAACAGAAAAAGCACTTGCTTTTTTTTTTTTTTTAAATCATGTATTACAGTTGCCAGGTCCTACATCAAGTCCTTTTACATTCATTATCTAATTTAATCTCATCTGCCCCACAAGTCGGTGCTATAATTTTCTCCATTGTACAGATGAGGAAACTGAGGCACAGATAGGTTAAATCAGTTACCTAAGATCATGCCTTTGGAGAGGAAAGTTAAAACAACAAATGGTTTCTAAGGATGCTTAAATTTTTACATTTCACCTGTATTGGATTCTATTTTTATAGGATAAAAATAAGTTATTTAAGGCCTCTTCCTTCAAGGATGGCATTGTCTCCTTCCTAACATTTCTGACAATTCTGTAGCAAATGATAAGAAAATCTCCCTCATGGTTGGGGCTTCAAAAGATGCAAAAAGTTGTGACGCTAATTGCTGCATTTTATTCTCCCTGTACTCTGGAGGCAGACATAGGGCAGACTCTTTTTATGCATGAGCGTGCTGTGAGGCTCAGAAACTTTAAATAAGTTGTCCAAGGTCACGCAGGATTAAAGGACAGGACATATCTCTCACCCGGGTTTCCCGAGGCCAAGTCCAGTGCACTGGGCTTGCGTTTCTCTTAATTGGTCTCTAGACTGGTTTCTGACTAAACCAAGCCTGGATGGAGATTAAGGGGCGCTTGACGCTCAGGTGTCCACGGGTCCTGTGAATGTTTTCCAGACCAAATCGTGGCAGGCTCCAAACCTGAAGAATTTCCCGTCATTCGCAGACAGGGGCTCTGGTTGCCTGGGCATCTTCCTGGAAAGGGATGCTTTGCATCCAGGATCCCATTTGCACGAGGCCTCTGTGATGTGTGACGTCTCATTCAGTGATCCACGGTGGCCCACGGAAGGCCAGACACAGAGACCTGGGGGAAGTTAACTACTTTGGAGGCACTGGGCTGCTCTGCTGCATAGAAGACGCCTTGTGCGGTCGGTGGGGGCTGAGGGGCCACAGCCCGTGCAGGTCTCAGGTCCCCAACGCAGCCGGGAAAGATCTCCTGTGCGGCCCGGCTACCTGGTCCGCTTGGCCTCTAGCTCCAGCACCAAGAGGGCTTTGCAGCCTCCAGGTCCCTGAGTATCTGAGCCACTCGGCCCGACCCATCCGTGTAGACTTGGGACGAGCTGGGGCCCTCATGCCACCCAGGGCCGAGATCTCTATCCGAGACTCGATCTGGAGCTGAAACCGCGGCGCAAAGTGGTGTTGGGACCATCTGGGGAGTGGGCGCCCGCCCGCAGCCGGAGCTGGGGTCGCCTTGTGGCTTCCCCCACGCGCTTGTTTGTGCCACCGAGCAGCAGCCCGAGGTTCTTGTCGCCTGGGGTCGCCTGAGCATTCCAGCTCCGGCTCTGCAGGATGACCTGGGCCATCAGGGTGTTAACTGAGCAGAGGCTGCAGACAGCCAGAGCCTCAGGCCAGGTCGCGTTTCTAGGTCGGGGACCCCGGCTCAAGTCCTGCCCGCTCCCATCTCTGTTTGTTCTCCTCTCCCTCACTGAGGCTCCGCGAGTCACAGCCCGGGGACCGCAGGGCAGAGCCCAGGTGGGGCGGGGGGGCTATGGGCGGGGCAGGTGAGGAAGGGGTAACCTGGGACCACCCCAACCGTAGGTTGGCCTTCGTTTGTCTGACCCTGGCGGCAGCACGGAGCAGAGGGATGGGGACGGCCTCGGGCCGGGCGGTGTGACAAGTCTGTTTCCGCCCAGCGCTGCCAGCTGGGGGTGAAACGAGTCTTTCCGGTGGGGTTGCTCAGCAGGGTCCTCCCCGCCCAGCCTCCCAGAACCAGTCATGAGACTCCCAGCACCCCGCCCAGGCCAACGGCCAGCTCTAGGGACTGGCACTGGGGCAAGGCAGATTCCCGGGGTTCCGGCCCAGGTTGCCTTGAAGGCCTTTTCCAATTCCTTCCCCAGAGTCACCAAGGCAGGTTTTGGAAACGCTTTCTGAATTATTCTAACACTGGCTCAGTCCTTTATGACTTTACAGTTTGGGAAACTGAGGCACAACATGGCCACTCCCGAAGTTGGCAATCCACAAAGCCTGTGAGGAGTGGCCTGGAGGGAGCCAGGATTTTCCCAGGGCTGGAGTCCTGTAGTCCTGAGGGACAGCACAGGGGCTGGAGACTCAGAGAGGCCTGGGCACCTGTCTGCTAGATCCTGCCAGTGGTCCAACGGTGCACCAAGCTGGACAGCCCTGGAGTTTCCAGCCTCAGCAAATTAATGAGGAGGATAAAATGCCTTTCTTTCCCTAATGGAAGAGTAGCAATTCCCTTTAACTTTTGCAGTTAGCCTGACAGGGATTACTCTTCTCCCAGCCTGACACTGGCATGGACCAGAGCACACTGTAGTAGAATCCAGGCACTGGAAGTCAAGCATCCTTCATTTCCTTAGCGGGGAGGTCTCTGTTTGCCCCTGTTTTTTCAAAATCACAGCATGTGAAGACCCAAGGGGGAGGTGCCCTGGAGGATTACTTTATCTGTCCAACCTTGACTCAGACTCACCTTTGATCAGGAAAGTTGGTCAGTTTCTCAAAATGCAAAATCAGTGAGTGATTTTACTTTTTTAGTTGGCATTTCCTTGGGATATTCTCTTTCCTGAGAATGAAGATGATAAACTATTGTCTTCAATTCTGTCCTGATTAGCATCCTTCCTCAATTCAGGATTTCCCTGGAGCTAGATTTTAGCAGCTTCGGGTTTATGACTTTTTGAAAATATAAATTTGATGAATTTTTTACCTATTCCTCAAATTAGAAAATCCCTTAATTACAGGAGAAAACATTTTCAAAGAGAAAGGCCAGACTTTTAGAGTGAGCCTGAAGCAATGCTTCTGTAAAAAAATTTCAGGGCAGGCAGGCCCTTCTCAGCAAACTGGTGGGCGAAGAACCAAGCACGAATGTTTTTCCAGCAGCTGTCAAGCTCACCTTCTTCCAGTTCATCTTGGCTAAAACATAAAGAATAAATGAAGGTTTGCTTAAAGTTGCAAGAATTCCAACTGAAGAGAAAGCACAGACCTGGTTAAATTGTTTTCAAATTGGTCTCTGATGGTATCCAGGGGAAATTTCTCTTTCTAAAAGTATTTCTAGTTAATAAATGAAGAAGGAACAATGGATATACTACCACCATTTTGCATCTGTAATGAATTCATGGACCTAAGCATGATTAGCGATAGCTGCTAATTTAAAAAGAGAGAACCAGTCTGGGGATTTAGCTCAGTGGTTCCACCGCCTGCTTTGTAAGTGCAAGGACCCAAGTTTGAGCCCCAGTACCGAAAAAAAAAAAAAGAGAGAGAACCCAGAATTATGTGTATTCTAATAGAAGATTCAGCACTATGAAACAATCTAGACATCCCTCATGTCCTGGAGTCCCATGTAGCAAACCTAAATATGACTGAATTTGACATTCACTTTCTACATACAGCAAGTGCAAAGTACAGGGGAACATGTGAAACAACACTAAGGTGACATAATCAAAACAACATAGATCTTGGGAAACTGCAAGATAAATGAGCCAGTTCTTTAGTAATGCAGGAAAAATAATACATTTAGATCCTGAACCAAACAAATGATTTAAAAATGTGACATTCATAGGGCAATTATAAATTTGAATACTGATGAGGTATCATTCAATGTTTAAGAAACGATTTTAGATTTTTTAGGAATGATAGCGTTATAGTTACATTTTAAAGTCATCTTTTGAAAATACATCCTAAAATATTTCCAGATAAACTGATATGATAACTAGGATTTATTTCTAAGTGGTTTTATAGAGGGACAAGGAAAGTGAAGATATAAATAGGAACAAGCCCGGACATTATTAATACTTAGTGGTGCATGATATTATTCTGTTCCTTATCATATTTAAATATCTTTTGGGGAGTACTCTCAAGCTTGTGAATCCGGGTTGAAGTCTGGCTGAATCGCCTGGGCTGAGGCTCAAAACAAGAGGGATTGCACACTTTGCACAATCCCTTCTTACCTATTCATTCAACAAATGTTATTAAGAGTCTTCGGTTTGCTTGCACTCTTAAAATTATGTAGCTCACGCTAGAGATTAGATCAGAAAATAACAAAAAAAGAAGTCAGCAAATGGAAGCAGGGAAGGCTCTGCAGAAGAACAGACGTTTGATATGTGTCCTGATAGGCGGGAAGAAACTAGCTGCACGGTGTCAGTTCAGTTCACCTTCTGTGAGATAAGAGGGTTAGACCAGATCTACAAGGAGGACCCATTTAGTCCTAACAGATTCTGTGATAATCACCTGCTGGAAACCATTTTTTGCCTTCTACATGTGTCTCTCCAGGAAATTTAGATGCTCCCCATAGACTTCCTGTCCTTGTCAGCTGAAGCAAGCCAAGTTGAGCTGTTGGTGTCGAATCTCCAAAGTTGTGTTTGGAGGTCAAAGCATGATTGTGTCAGCCAGTCTGTGGCTTTCTTAGGAAATGATCTCTTATGCTCATTTTTACTTATTCAGTTCCCAAGGAGGGCGGGGGATTTAGCTCAGGGGTGCTGCTGCCTGCCTCACAAGTGCAAAGACCTGAGTTCAGTCCCTGGTACAAAAACAAAACAAAACAAACAAAAAAACAGGCTGGGGATTTAGCTCAGTGGTTCTGTCACCTGCCTCACTAGTGCCTGAGTTTGATCCTTGGTACCAAAAAAAAAAAAAATGTTATGATTCAGTTCCCTAGGTATTTCACTAGGTAGACTTAGCTGTGCATTTGCTGGATTGCCAGTGGTTATGCCCAGTCTTGGCAATGAAACACCCATAAGAGTAAATGTCTACAGTACATTCCTGAGCTTGCCCAACTACTGTAGCCTTCCTTCTTCCTTTTCTGTCTTCCTTTTCTATCCAATATGCAGCCCGACCTTCAGATTCACTAATTCACTCTGCTACTCTGTCATAACACTTCTAACTTTGTGCTCTGACAGTGTTTCCCCCCCGCCCCATGGGCATGAACCACTTGCTAAGGTAAAACCTACTACAGTAGCCAGTTGACAAGTAGCTGGCTCTTTCACTTCTCCACAATATTGTGCAAATATTTTTCTGTGTGTTCTGCCTATTCTTTTTATCTTCTCGTTTTTATGGATGTTTGCACTTTAAAAACAATTTCTGAAACTTTTGGATGAGCAAGATAGGACTCTTTAAAGCTGGACGATCTATGTATTTGTTGAATAGATTTACCTGAGTATGATGCAGAGTCAAACGCGGTGACTTCTTAGGAACCTGCCAAGCATCTTGACAGGTGATTCAGAGCCTGGCAGTGGACCAGGAATGATAGGAACTCCCCTAATTCTTATTGCTGTGAGTCAAAGATACAGTTCACTGTGGGAGAAAAGTATTAGAAATGTGATACATTGTACAATTCTAGAGATTGCTCAAAATCTTATACTAACTTAATTAGAATAATTTACTTTAACTGAAAGCTATAATTTTTTACTCTTTGTAACCAGTTTAACCAACTTATTCTTTTTAAACTCACCCAGATGGAATTTATTACTTCAAAGCCAATATTCTTAACCTTAATTTTTGTGCTAACCATCATTATAGGTGAGAAATTATGCTAATGGAATGCTTGAGATTTCTCCTTATATCGGAACACCAGCTTGGATCAAACAAAAACTCCCACCTCAAGTGGTTAGAACAGTTAGAAACATTTTTAATCCATTAAAAACACCAGAGAATTACCCAGGCTTGAGGGGACAAATTCCTGGAGGGAAGGGAAGCAGAGAAAGGTGGGCCTGACATTTGGCACTGGTTTCCCCTTCAAGGCATTTGCTTTTGGGAGCAGTGCTTTCAAGGTTAAGAAGCTCAGCAAAGCTTTGACTATCTCAGAAAGACCTTGGGAATGCCTTGAGTTTTGGGACCAGGCTTGTGAAATGCCACACTAATAGTAAGGACAAATCAAAAAACATCAACTCTCATAAAATCTCAATTTATGCCTGATTAACATGGTCTGCCACTGTACTAACTTCTCAACAAAAGTTAAAGGAAATCTCTGGAGAACAATAGTATCACCCACAGGGTCATATTAACTCTATATTTTTTCATAGGAAATATGTGGTATTTGATCAGAATTTACTAGGCATACCAGGTGACAAGACCAAATGACTCAAAATCAAGAGAAGTAGACAGTAGAAATATGCCCAGAATTATTGGAGTTATCAGGCACACTTTAGAATAATCTATTGATATTTTAAGGTGATAACAAAATGAATTTCAGTGAAAATGGACATATATAAAATAATGAATAGAATTTCAATAACTGAAAATATCACCAATTAAGAATACATTAGATGAATTTAGCACATATTAAACACAGACAAAGAGAAGATGAGTGAATTGGAAGATACTTCAGAAGAAACTATTTGGACTGAAATGCAAAAAGAGAAAAAGAAAGAAAGATACAGAAAGAATATCTTTATGTTGAACATAATGCTAACATAAGTGTTACTGGCACCTCAGAGAAAAAAGACAAGAGAGGCCGGGCGTGGTGGCTCATGCCTGCAATCCCAGCACTGGGGAGGCTGAGGCAGGAGGATTGCTATGAGTTCGAGACCAGCCTGGACTACATAGTGAGTTCCAGGTCAGTCTCAACTACATAGTGAGACCCTGTCTCAAAAAACAAAACAAAACAACAAAAAAAGAAGCAGACAAGGAGAAAGGTAATGGAGCAGAAGTAATATGTGAATAGACAGTGGCCAAGAATTCCCCCAAATTAATAAAAGACAAGCCACAAATCCAAGAAGCCTGTAGAACTCTAAGTAGTATGGATACAGAAAAAAGTCACATGCAGACACATCATCATAATAAAATTACTGAAAATAAAAGAGTAAGAGATAAATTTTTTAAACAGCCAAGTAAAATAATACATTACCCTTACTGAAGCTACAACAGAACTTTTAGCACAAATCACAGAAATCAGAAGACAATGAAATGATATCTTAACAGAGTTAGCTGGGGATTTAGCTCAGTGATTCTGCCACCTGCCTCAAAAGTGCAAGGTCATAAGTTCAATCTCCAGTACAAAAAATGGAAAACCAAACAAACAGTAAAGCCAATCTAGGGTCAGGGATTTAACTCGGGTTCTGCCGCCTGCCTCACAAGTGCAAAGTCCCAAGTTAAATCTCCAGTACCCCCCCCAAAAAAAAAAGCCAATCATGGATGAAGTTTAAATTAGGGTATTTTAAAACAGACCTGAAATGAGAGCATTTATCATTAGTAAATGTGCAGTAAAAGCAAATCCTTTAACCAGAGGAAAAATTGTCACCAATACAACTTTTGAAATGCAGGGGAAAAAATGAGTGCAGAAAACAGAGAGGGCAAATAAGTGGATAAATCTAAATAAAAATTGATTTTTAAAATAATGTAGGTTTTATTTAAGCAAAATGAATAGCAATTAAAACACATGACATACTAAAAGATGGGAAGGGGTGAATAAAAGACCTTAAACTATGTTAAAGTCCTTACACTGTTAAGATATCATAAAATTGCTATTTTGTTTTAGATTTTAATATGTTAAGGATGCATAATGTAATCTTTCTTTGTTTATCCTCACCACCATAACGAAATACCACAGAATGAATGGCTTACACAACAGAAAAGTATTTTTTACTTTTCTAAAGGCCGAGAAGTCCATGGTCTTTGTGCCTGCGTGGGTAAATTCTGGTGACACGTCTTCTGACTTACAGTGGGGAATGCATCCTCGTGTCCCTTTAGAAGTGCACTAATCCCATAACTCAGGGGCCCCACCCTTATGACTGCATTTAATCATAAGTACTTCCATGAATACCCTGTCTTCCGTCACATTGAGGATTAGCGTTTTTCCCATATGAATTTTGAGGGGGACACAAATCATCCCCTAGCATACTCTAGGTTATAAGTGCTTAAAGGAATAGTAAAAATTATGTAACTCATGAGCTAATAAAGAAGAAAATGGTGCGGACAATGGTTTCTTTTTGCCTCCAGAAGAAAGCAAAAGAGAAGGAAAGCAACATGGAACAGGTGAAATAAATAGAAAAATAAATAGAAATGAAGTAGATTTAAGCTCAATGTAGAAGGAATTAAATGGTCTCAATACTTCTGTCAAAGTGTAAAAAATGTCACATTGGACAAATTACTGAAATTCAACTGCATGTAGAGATACAGATTAAGCATAAGAAATATCATAAGAAGAGAGGTAGGAAAAGATAGACCATACCAACAATGACTAAAGAAGACAGTTGGGAGACAGAATGATGGCTGGGTCGCATATGACCACGTGGATTTGTCAGTATCAGTGACAGGCAGTGGAAATGTATTTTTCTAATTTTCACTGAATGAGAATAGCTGGTCCCTTGTGCTTGTGAGGCCAGACATTTTCTTCCAGCAGTTCAGAGAAAAGGTCCTATTCTGTCTGGGTCCCTGAGCCTTCTGTACTCACAGGAGTTGATGTAGCACACAGATAAAATAGTAATAATTAATAATAATAATAATGATAATCATAGGCAAACATGGACAGAAAGGACTCCAGAATCACCGAGTGTGCATTATAATTTTAGATTCGTTTCCTTTTTTGGAGTACTGGGAATGGAGCCCAGGGCCTCACACATTCTGGCTCTCAGAGTGTGGCCTCTAGCATTAAAGTCCCAGGAGCCTGACAAGAGAGCAACCCACTCTCCCTACAGAGATCATTTCTCTGTTCCTTTCAACCTAACTAAAATATATACTGAGCATCTAGGAGTTCTCCTACAGAGCTGAGCACTGTTCTAGGCACCGTAGTTTCTGTGCTGAATAAGACACAGCTGAAGAAGTCTACAGAGAAGTGAAGGTTCAGCCAGCCCTTAACAGTGGAGTAGGTATCTGCAGGGGCTTAGAAAGGAGCCTGGTGTTTCTGGCAAAGGGTAAAACAGATGGAGAAGCACAGAGCCATGAATGAAGGGCAAGTGGGTGCCTGCCACTGGAGAGGTGGGGCTGGAGAGTCAATGCCTAGGAGGTGAGACAGGAGTCAGTCAGGGAGTGACCGGTGCTGGCCAATCCACTCCCCACCCCAACTTTCCTTCCCTCCTCAGAGACCATCCCGTCTCTCTCAGCAGCTAAGGCCCCTGTGTGAGAACCTAAATGCAGTGCCTGTGTCCACGCCCCTTCTCCCAGGAGCCGCCTGTACCTGACTGTGTCACTGTGGGTATTTGGATAGGCCCCACTTTTAGCATCACAGCCCATTTAGCTTAAATCACGGAGCAAAGGACGCCCAGAAATTCAAATCTCTTTGCTCGGCCCTGAGTGCTCTTGAACTCCTGGCTCTCTCTCTCCTCTCAGGTTGGGAATCTTTGAGAGGCTGCCCACTGCCTCTTCTTCTTCCCTGTGGGAAAAATTTCTGCAGAATATCAGTGAGCACCAGACAGCAAAGCCCTTACACACCTCATCTTAGTCAAACGGGACCTTCTTGTCCAGAGCTATGATTTTGTTTTGAAGTATGATGTTTGATCCAGGGGGGAATCTTATATCTGAATCTCACTAATGGAGTAAGCACATTGGGAGAGAAAACCAGTAATGCTGCAGAGATTCTGAAATAAATATCTTCCTCATTAAATTTTCCAGATGACAAATCCTTTGTTCACAGATGAAAAATGTGATTTTTGCCAAATTGTAAAGCAGCAACCAGATGACTGAAACCCTCTTTTCCTTTGAATAACTAACTGCATGCTGGGGATTTAGCTCAGTGGTTCTGCCGCCTGCCTTGCAAGCACAAGGACCCAAGTTTGATCCCCACCACAAAAACAAAACAAACATACAAACAAAAAATGGTAGTGAATAAACTGCTTAACAGTTGAAAATGAGTGGGGACTCTAGTAAGTGGTGTGTGTGTTAGCCCCTGGAATCTTTATGAGAATACAAGGAGTTAATATCACATTAACTTCAGTCTACAGTTGTGTGTGTGTGTGTGTGTGTGTGTGTGTGTGTGTGTGTGTTTTGTACCAGGGCTCAGACTTGGGACCTTGTGTTGTGAGGCAGGCAGCAGAACCACTGAGCTAAATCCCCGGCTCCAGTCTACAGTTATTGTAAACTGTTGTCACTGTTCTATTCTCATCCTTATTTAAAACACTTGACATAATAGCGTTTTGTTTTTCATGGAAATATTACAAAGCTGGATTCGTTTTCCCCCACTTGTCAAATGAAGAAATCGAAGCTATGAAGAGGGAAGGTGACTGCATGAGATCTGAAATAGCTGAAAGAAACACGGCATAACTGTTTTACTCCTAATGTAAAACCCAAACTAAAAGGAAAAAATGGAAACAAAGTCTTTGTAAATAGGGGAGGAGGAAGGGGTGAAGGGAGGGCAGGGAAATGGGGAAAAAATAAGAACCAAGACCTGTCGTGTAAAGGTACAAAATCCCAGTGATGAGTGTGACTGTACTGTATACCTAAAAAGTACCAATAAACTCCATGAGAAAAACAAAACAAAACAACATAAAGCCAGGCGTGGTGGTGCACGCCTGTAAGCCCAGCACCCGGGAGGCTGAGGCAGGAGGATCACTGTGAGCTTGAGATCAGCCTGGGCTACATAGTGAGTTCCAGGGCAGTCTTAACTACACAGTGAGACCCTGTCTCAAAAAATCAAAACAAAACAAAAAAATGCACAAAAGCCAAACTACTGCATAGTTCGCTTACTCCTCCTGACCTCAGCTCTACATTCTTTCCAAAATACTATTTCATCTGTTTAAAAAAGTGACTGGGAAACTTCTTTCTTTCTAGTTGATTTTGTGAAATAAACGCGCAGATATTAAAGCCAAAGTGTGGTGTGGGGAAGAAAAGGAATTGATTTTTATAGCCTCTATTATTTTTATTTTAGTTTAGTTTGGTACTGGGGATTAAACCCCCGAGTACTGTATCACTGGGATACATCCCCAGCCCATTTTATTTTATTTTGAGAGAGGGTGTTGTTAAGCTCCCCAGGCAAGACTCCAGCTTGCCCTCCTCCCTCCTCAGTCTCCTTCAGTGCACGCGCCAACCACTCGGTATTTCTGTTATTTTTTATCTTATCCACCCTTATAGAAATCTAATGGGGAAGGTGTCCATATGTTTTATAGATTAGAAATCAAGGAACAGAGAGATTGAGTAGATTGCCCCAAGACCCCAGCTTACAAATCAAGGAGCTAATCTCTGGACATTGTGTCTTTGGACTCTTGGTCTGGTCCTATTTCCAGGCCATCTAGCAGCTGGGAAGTAGAATTTCCGAAGGTCCCAGGTTTGGGGATGGCATTTGTGGTGCAAGTGTGGAAACTGAGGGAGCACATTTCAGCCCTTGTGTATGTTCTGCTCATGAGATGAGGTGCCCAGGTGTCCAGGCAGCACTGAAGGCTGGCACTTCTGCTCCCCCTTGCTCCCCCTTTCCCTTTTCCCCATCTCTGGGGACTTTGCACCAGCCTGTTGCCTGATGGCAAGTGACAAAAATCAAGCCTGGGAAGTTGGGAGAAAACCCTGGTCCTTGTGGAATCCTCAGGCCACCAGGGTGCAGGTATTTCCTTGGCAGTTTCTGGAAGGTTCACGTACTCACCAGGAACCAAATCCTGTGTAAATGTCAGCTTTGGCTGGTGCAAGGCATTCTTTTAGTCCTTTAGTTCAGCAGTGTGGCTTGAGAATCAGACAGGAAGAAAAGAAAAGACCATTCATTCGTATCTTAGTCTGCTTGGGCTGCCAGCAAAATACCACAGGCTGGGTGGCTTAAGCTGCAGAGATTTATTTTTTCCTAGTTCTAGAGGCTGGAAAATCCAAGGTCAAGGTGCCAGCATAGCTAGGTTGTAGTGAAATCTCTCTTTTTGTCATTCAGGTGGCTGCCTTTTTGTTTTATCTTCACATAGCAGAGGACTGGAATTCTGTGTCTCTTCTTATGAGGACACTAATCTCATCATGACCCCACCCTCATGATTTCATCTAAATCTAATTACCTCTCAAAGGCCCCATATACAAATGCCATCATATTGGGGTC